ATTATTAGTTTCAGTTTTCTGCAGTTGCTGGGATCTCAAAGCTGGATGTGGAAGCTCTTACTCCCCTCTCTGTTACAGCTAAAAGCTGGGGTTCTCTTCCTGCTAGAATTACGTGAGACAATCTGTTTTACTGAATTTGCCTTTGCCAAGGGTGTGTTTATGGGATGTTACTATATTGGAACAGTTAATTAGTAGTAGTAGTTAACATATCTATTATTTTGTTAAGCGTTTTGATAGATATGCAGTTAAGCCAATTCTTTTGTTTTTATTTTGTCTGTATTTTAACTGTAGTGTAAAAATAAAGTGTGTTTTTCTTAATGTCGAGTAGTTTGACCAATCAAATTGCATCTGGAATGCAATGCCTTACACTTTCCTTAAAATAAGAAAAAATTAAGGTGTAAATATCGTCCTAATATATTTTGAGGGGGTTTGGTCTGGTCCATAACAGCACTAATGGCTACTTTGAACTTTCTCCCTGTATATCTGGGTTATAGATCCTCGAGTGTCACCCACCCTCAAGTAGCTAATCCCAGCTAGCCATTAAGTGCCCGGAAGCTGTTTGATTTAGAGGCCAGAGACTGCTGGCTATTGTTTCAATTCAAGGTTCTGAATTCAGTCTTCTTTGAACAATGTTGTAATTTTTTCCGGTTGAGATTTGACACATCTGGGCCAAAGTACTCTTTAAGGGAGATTGCTAGCAATAAGCACGTTTCTGACTGGAAACCCATATGTGGTTTGCTTCCAGTTGAAAATTTCCATATGTTTAAGAATGGAATAAATCAATAATCACCCTAGATGTTTTGAGATAGTAGCTGTTTCTGCCTTGGCTCTGTACAGAGTTCTATCTTTTTTGAACTTGCATTTCTAATGTAACTGCAAGGTAAAATAGAGCTGAGTCAGCACGGTTTCATCAAGTGGAGGTCATTCTTTGTGGAAATAAAAAGCAAGTTCAACAAAGGAGAGACAGTGGACATGATCTATTTGGATTTCCAGAAGGCCTTTGACAAGGTGCTGCACAGGAGGCTGCTAAATAAAACAAGAGCCCACAGTGTTAGGGGCAAGGTACAGGCATGGATAGAGAATTGGCTGACTGGTAGAAGACAGAGAGTAGGGATAAAGGGGTCTTTTTCAGGATGGCAGCCGGTGACTAGTACAGTTCCACAGGGGTCCGTGTTGGGACCACACTATTCATATTATACATTAACAATCTGGACAAAGAAACTGAGGCATCATTGCTGAGTTTGCAGATGACATAAAGATGGGTGGAGGGACAGGTGGTGTCGAGGAAGAGGGGAGGCTACAGAAGGCCTTGGGCAGGCTGGAAGAGTGGGGCAAAGAAGTAAGTTAGAATACAATGTGGGAAAGTGTGAGGTTGTGCACTTTCGTCAGAAGAATAAAGTCAGGGAAAGGCTTTGGAAATCTGAAATACAAAGGGACTTGGGATTCTCCTTCAGGATTCTCTTAAGGTTAACATGCAGATTCAGTTGACAGTTAGGAAAGCAAGTGCAATGTTAGCATTCATTTCAAGCGGTTAGAATACAAGAACAGAGATATACGCTGAGGCTGTGTAAGGCTCTGGTCAGACCGAATTTGGAATATTGTGAGCAGTTTTGGGTCCCTTATCTCAGGAAGGATGTTCTGGCCTTGGTGGGGTCCAGAGGAGGTTTACAAGAACAATCCTGGGGATAAAGGGCTTGTCATATGAGGAACAGTTGAGGACTCTGGGGCCTGTACTCAATGGACTTTACAAGGATGAGGGAGAGATCTGACTGAAACTTACAGAATACTGAGAGGCCTGGATAGAGTGGACGTGGGGAAGATGTTTCCACTAGTAGGAGAGACTAGGACCCGAGAGCACAGCTTCAGAGTTGTTAATCTGTGGAACTCATTGCCACAGAGGGCTGTGGAGACCAAGTCATTGAGTGTATTTAAGACAGAGATAGATAGGTTCTTGATTGGTAAGGGGATCAAGGTATACGAGAAGGCAGGAGAATGCGATTGAGAAATTGCATTTGCCTTCCTATCAACGATAATCGAATGATGGAGCATATCCGTTGGGCTGAAAGGCCTAATTCTGGTCCAATATCTTATATCTAAGCACCACCATCTCCTTTCCATCACACAGTTTTTGTCAAGAGATGTTTGACCTCTTGGTCAGATTCCCAGACCTTGATGATTCTGCAGGTTTGCTCCTCTGTTGGTTTGAGAAGAGCTTGTATGACCTCACAGCTGCTGGTGTCATTTTTGTGATTTGCAGCTTATGTTTTTCAGCCCAGTTGCATAGTCACAAAAGTGATCACCGGTGGTTGTGTATCTCTCCAGAAATCCATGTCTCACCCAACCTACACTACCAGAGAGGAACAACTGATGATCAATGCAATACAAACAGACTTTGGTGCAGATCATCTAAATTTTTGTCTAAGGATACAAAACTTCCTTACTAAAACCATCACAGAGGTTAGTGTATTCACACAGATGGGCTTCTCTTGTAGCGGGAGAATGGAGTGGAGAAGCCAAGATAAAACTTTGACTTCTCTTTGTTAACCTGTGATATGCCATTAAAATTAATTAAAATAAATAGACAGAAAACCATAGATAATAAGGTGCAGAGCTGGATGAACACAGCAGGCCAATCAGCATCAGAGGAGCAGGAAGGCTGACGTTTCGGGCCTAGACCCCTCTTCAGGCAGAAAACCATGACTGGTGAGTGTAGAAGCAGAAAGCCCTAGTCCATGTTTAATCTAATCCAAAAATGGGTGATGCAGAAAATGCCCTGCTAACATCACAAATGCTGCCCTTCAAAATAGTTCATTATACATGAAGTGCTCTGGACATTTCTGGAATTCATTAAGGCATGTTGCAAAATATCATGGCCCTAATTGTCCTCATGGAATGGTGCACAAAGTGCCTGTGTAGTGTAAAGGAAAACAGTGGAATGAGAAATTGGGTGGGATCCAGAAATGTTGGGTCTTTTCCAGAAAAGTAGCACAAGAGACTTCCTGCTGGGGCTGCAACAATGAACATTCTGCCCCCACCATAATGATCTGAGAGAAAGCAGGAGTTAAGACAGGCGGTGATTTCACCTGCCAGATTTCCTATAATTCCTGACACTTATGTGCTCAGTGACAGGGAAGCTAGAGAATTCTTAGGCCAGAACTCTCACAATGGAAGCCAATAATCAATGATTTGCTACTGAGGCCAAGTAACTGTATAGGACCATGGCTTCCTGCTCTTATTTCCTTGGGGTATCACAATTGTTTATTAGCATTTTGGGCTCATGTTCCACAATTCAGCTTGTCTGATTCTCTTTGAAAACAAGCTAGATGCCTTATATATGACATTTGAAAATGCATGGTTATAAAGTTCTGATTAGATCATAAGGAGAAATGTGATCCCAAGGTAACAATTGTCAGTGCGCCTCTACCTCCGCGAGCCTGGAACTGGTAAGTACCCTGACAGCATCTGCTAGCAAGAAATAGAAAAACAACTGATCTTATATGACCAGTTGTTTATCAGAGAATTTCATCTCACCAATTAATCCCTATGTATTGTTCCTACTCATATTACAATTGCCCTTGCATTCAAACACATCCTGCATTAGGTACAATTTTCTTGTTGTCTAGTGTTTCTCTAACTGAGCAATATTGGATAAGTAGGGTACTTATTATCAAGTTATACGAGACAGTGGGGACTCTAGTGATGCAGTGGTAGTTATCCTTACCTCTGGGCTAGCAAGCCTGGGCTCAAGTCCCACTTCCTCCAGAGGGGTCCAATATCACTGACAGGTTAAGAAAATGAAAGGCACCAGCTCATGGCAGATATGTAAAACTGTTACAATCAACAAACTAAGCAATAGCCAAGTGCTGTTACAACAATCTCTACCTTTAGGACTAGTTACATTTCAGTTTGCTGTTTTTCCTCTTCGGTGCCCGTAAAAGGCTCAGGGAAATCTCACAACTCTGCCAATTATGTAGGTTAAGTGCAAAGCTAACAGTATGACCAGTCCTTTCTACCCACTACCCCAAGACTTTTTAGACACAACCAAACAGGAGATGCACAGGCATGTGAATAAAAAAATCCTTTTCTGAAGGGTCTAGGCCTTTCCTGCTCCTCTGATGCTGCTTGGCCTACTGTGTTCATCCAGCTCTACACCTTGTTATCCTTTTAACTATAACCCACATTTTGAACATATTAAGCAAGCATCCTAAACAAGCCTTTTAAAGGGAATCTGGTTTAGTGCAGGAAAATAAAACACTATGTTGATAGGTTTAACAGGAATGTTGGTGTGCATGCTCACATAATCCTTGAAGGCAGGATAGGTAGATGTGGTAATTGCCTTTATTTGTCCAGTCATTGAATACAAGAGCAAAGTTAAGTTGAAGCTATATATTATTCAGGCCAGGTGTACCATAATCTGACAGGCACATATGGAGTAAGTGTGAAGAAACTTCCTTCTGCAGCCCCTTGGTAGAAGGTTCCATAAGCAGGTAAGTTTGAAGGCAAGGTACAAAACAGTTGGAGAAGAAATTGTGTAGGGCTATTACAAATTAAATGATTCAAGCTAACTTCTGATTAATGCCTTAAAGTTAAAGAAAGTTTAGTGGAATGCTACTGAATTTTGCTAACTGCTTCAGATGTGGCATGCAGGGGTTCTGGAGTCATAACACCCAACCTTAACAATGGAAGGGGAAAATTCCAGGTGCAACCATTCACCAGGAGGCCTTCTGTTATGACTTCACTGAGTTCAGGTGCAAGCATAGAATGCAATCACGACTAAAAGTGCCTCTGGGAGCTACTCTGCATGTGCTTGTTTAACCAACTTCTGCAAATGAAACTATATTTTGATTCCACATTCCATGTAGTGGTTAAAATAATTTTCAATGTAGTTGTAACCAGGTGGTAAAACCTACTTCAGGTAGTTCAGATATGTTGCACTTAATCTGCTTTTCCCACCAATAGTTAAACCCCACAACTGTAGGAGAGACAGATTTGCATAGTGATTACTTCAGAAAATCAAGTTTATTAACAGATGTTTCACAGGAGAAATAAGGCACAGAATCAGAATACAAATAAAGGAAGCAAAAACAGGACAACATTAAAGTTTGAGGATTTAATACTCCTCCCCTTCCTCTTCACCTTCACCACTATCAGCACCAACTTCCTCATAATCCTTCTCTAAAGCAGCCATATCCTCACGGGCTTCTGAGAACTCTCCTTCCTCCATACCTTCACCAACATACCAGTGAACAAAGGCACGCTTGGCATACATCAGGTCAAACTTGTGGTCCAGGCGAGCCCAAGCTTCAGCAACAGCTGTGGTGTTGCTCAGCATACACACAGCCCGCTGAACCTTAGCCAAGTCACCTCCAGGAACCACAGTAGGAGGCTGGTAGTTGATACCAACCTTGAAACCAGTGGGACACCAATCCACAAACTGGATGGTACGTTTAGTTTTAATAGTAGCAATAGCAGCATTGACATCTTTTGGCACTACATCACCACGGTAGAGGAGGCAGCAGGCCATGTACTTGCCATGGCGGGGGTCACATTTGACCATCTGGTTGGCTGGCTCAAAACAAGCATTGGTTATTTCTGCTACTGTTAGCTGCTCATGATATGCCTTCTCAGCAGAGATAACTGGTGCATAGGT